TGGCTCAAAACTTCTCAGCTATGACTCGGAATTCATTGAAAAGGCTCGTCTCTCAAAACTAGGTTTGACTCTTCTCATCATCCTCGGAAATAAACCTGAAAATACACCCAAGAGCACGGAAAAATACGCCAAAAATAGAATAAAGAGAAAGACAAGAAAATACACGAAACACGATAAAATGGATCGGTCGACACTAAAACGAACCTAAAAAGACTAAACTAAAACACATAAAACACATAAAAATAAGCACAAAAACACAATAAACAGAAATCAGGACAGGAGGGCTAACCTGAGGGTCACGACCCAGTCCCTTTCATGACTCTCTATCAAAAGCGGCCAACTAGATGTTATGATGAGTTGCTGGAACGATGTAATAAGTACTTTATAATATGAAGGAATCTTAGGCAGACTACATACAGCTCGACACCAGAAATGAGAATGAGAGAAAATAAGAACGAAGACCTCAAGGTGACGAGAAGAGAGTAGGGCGTGAAGGTAAACAAATCGAGGAAAGAGGGTGGAAACCAAGACAAAGGTTTGGCTGATACACACCACTGGCACCATCGAAAGGGCGGGTCTTTGAAGTGTTAGAAAGAAACGGGATGGTTGGACTGACCCTGGCCCCTCCAGAGGACAAACAGGATGCCAATGGGTCGACCAAACACTTACTGTCGATACCACAGAGATCATGGACATAGTATTGATACGTGCAAGGAGTTAAGGGATGAGATAGAAAGGATGATACGCGCTGGTCACCTAAAAGATTTCATCCTGAGGGATAAAAAGTCGAGGAAAGAAAAGAAGGAGGGAGAGAAACGATGATTGCAGTTGGACCAATCCAATCCCTAGAAAAAAAAAAGGTGATCCACATGATAAAAGGTGGAACCACCGATGGAAATTCAAATCAGGCAAAAAAAGGGCATGCGAGATCGCTGGATGAGAACAAGTAAGGAGAAGAAATCCATATTTGTAGAAGAAGTAGCTCGTTCACTTTGGCCCCTCTGACCTCAGAGATGTTACTAGACCACACAATGACGCAATGATGGTAATGGTGGAGATAGCGAGCTACGATGTAGAGCGAGTCTTCATAGATATAGGGAGCCCGATAGACATACTTTTTACACAATGCTTAGACAGAATAAACCTGAGCCTACCATTGCAACCAGTACGCACAGCCTTGCATGGCTTTTGTGGATCGAAGGTCGTTCTTCAATGAGAGGTGACATTGTCGGTGGCGCTGGGAGAACCACCCTTAAGACAAGTGAAAATGATCATGTTTCTGGTGGTTGAGACAAAATTGGCCTATAATGCAACCAAGCCTCAATTCTTTTTCAGCGGCCGTTTCGACCTACTATATGAAGGTGAAGTTCTTGGTTTGGGACAAAGTAGGGGAGGTTGTAGGAAGTCAAAAAATTATAAGAAAGTGCTACCAGGTCACCATTTGGGAAGGTCGATCTAATGGAAAGGGGAACGATGAAGAAGGCCGATCTAATGGAAAAGGAACTGATGAAGCTTCGGAAAAACCAAAAAAATGGCCAAAGGAATACATTGCAACATAGGACGAGTTCTTCAGGTCGAACTAGCGGAACGTTCAAAGAGCAGAACGACCCACATTGGGAGAGACCTCCCGCAGGAGATACGAGAAAGGTTGGTGTAGACATTGAAACATTTTATAGATGTCTTTGCGTTTACTCCGGAAGAACTCACACGCATCAACCCGAGTTTGGCAGTCCATTATCTCAATATTTACAGAAGGGTAAAACTGATGAAATAGAAACGCCGACACTTCATTCATGAGTTGGACCTCATAATCGAGCAAGAGGTAAAAAATTTGTTGTAGTCAGGACACGTCAAACCAATCCGATTCTTAGAGTGGTTGTCAAATGCAGTCATGGTAAATAAAGAGTTGGACAAATGGAGAATGTGCATAAACTTTTGGAATTCAAACAAACTTGTCCAAAAGATCACTACCCATTACCTTAAATCAATTAACTGGTGGACTCCACAGCAGGATTCGAGCTCTTAAGCATGATAGATGCCTCACAGGGCTACCACTAGATTGCGTTGGCGGAATAAGATCAGAAGAAAGTTAGTTTTCTCACGGCGAAGGGTCATACTGTTATGTTGTCATGTTGTTCAAACTGAAAAATGTAGGGGCCACGTACCAACGGTTAGTCGACCAGATGTTCAAAGAGAAAATTGGGAGAAATATGGAAGTCTATGTTCACGACATGTTGGTGGAGAGCAGAGTGGCCGCGAACCACGTTGATGATCAAAAGAAGACCCTCACTACCTTAAGGGTGTATGACATGAAATTAAATTCCGCGAAGTGCAAGATCGGGGTGAAGAACTTTCAGTTCTTGAGATACATCGTCACTGAGAAGGGAAGTCAAGTGAACTCAACAAAGCTGTAAACGGTCATAGATATGAAGCCCTCGAGGAACCTGCGCGAAACTCAGACATTAATAGGCAGACTGGCAGGCCTCAGTAGATTCATCGCACAGATAGCTGAACAAGGGTTCCTAATTTTTCAAGCTCTTAAAAAGGGATCCAAGTTCGAGTGGAAATACAATGCTTAAGAGGCGTTCGAGCACTTCAAAGAGTTCCTGGCAGAATTACCTCTGCTATCAAAATGTGAACCCGAATATGAGTTGATACTATATCTATCAGTTGGGCAAGTGACAACAAGTTCGGTTTTGCTAAAGGAGGAGTAGCGACAACAAAAACCCATCTATTACACTAGTAAGCTGTTGCAAGGAGCAGAAATGCGATACACTGACATCGTAAAGGTGGTCATGGCGCTAATGATCACAGTTCGCAAACATAGACCATATTTCTGGCGCATCGAGTGATTGTTTGAACCAACCTACTGTTGGGAGAAACCTCTATTCGACCCATAGCCTCGGGACAACCCACCAAATGAGTAGTCGAGCTAGGAGAGTATGATGTCATGTTTGAGCCGAGAAGAGCGATCAAGGCCTAAGCTCCAGTAAACTTTATTCGAGAGCTAACAATTGAGGAGGACCCAAGGCAGTGGTTGCTCTATGTAGACGGTAGCTCGACCCTAAGAACCACCGGTGTAAGAGTCTCGATAGTGACACATGAAGGAGATAACTCAGAATATGCATTGAACTCCCATGCCTCGAACAAGAATTCTGAATACAAAACCATGATAAAAGGTATCCAATTGACCAAGCTATGGGTGCTCAAAGGGTCCACTTATACTTAGACTCTCAGTTAGTGGTGGGCCAGGTGAAAGGCAATTTCGAGATAAAAGAGGACTGGATGAAATACGCCTAAAATATTTGTGAGTTGTTGAAAGGTCTGACCTTTTGAGAGGTCACTCGAGTACCTCAGAAGGAGAATGCCTGAGCTGACCTTCTGGACAAGATGGTTAACTCGCTGGTGGATTGCAGCTCCAGATCGATCACACTACTACAAATGGACCAAACTCACTGTAGCAGGTCATGAGAGTGGTAGAGTGAAAAAAATGGAGATTGGATACAAAAAACTGGTTGGTTCGAAGAGAAAAAACCAACAGACAGCGGTGTTGCCGAAAAGCTGCTGAGAAGGGCATCTAAATTCTTCATCGATAATGACAACTTATACAAAAGGTCGCACGAAAGGCCGCATCTAAAGTGTATCTCCAAGGAGGAGGCAAGCCACATAAAAGACTAGAGCAATGGTGGGGAAATGCACTGAGTTCAGGATGCGCGCCGACGCCTTGGAGTTGGTCACAAACTATCGACCACACCAAATGTACGATGTGGTAACCCACTGACCCACTAAAGAGATGATGCCGATGACCACCCCAATTCCCTTCGCCCAGTGGGGAATTGATATTATTCCCTTTGCCCAGTGGGGAATTGATATTGTAGGACCGCTTCCTCACGGAACCGAGCAACGTAAGTGGCTTCTAGTGGCTATCTTCAATGGATGACTCTGAGGTTGCTGAGGATAGAATCAAGTTATCCACCTATATACTATGGTGGATCTGAAAAACCAAAAATATGTGGGTATTCCAGAGTGTTTGGAGGCATGAGAAGGACATTGGGAAGTCTACAACAAGAGAGGTGGAAGGGGAAGAAGGGTAGAGAGAGTCTAGACTAGGTCCCTTTGTCAGTGGTCTATACTTCGTTGTTATATTGTTATATTTTAATTCTGTTTTCTATGACTTTAGGAGTTCTTGTAAGCTAAAGATTTCAAATGTTTGTATTTACCTTTACTTTATGGGGGTGTTGTTATGTTTTTGGAGTTTTGAGGTAGGTTGTTTTCTAGGCCACATTGGTGTGTGGTTCTCCATTGTGCTTTGTGTTGTGATTAAGAGCTAATTTGCTCTTCAGATGTAAAAATTGTTTATCCTTTTGGTTTTATTAGAGTTTTTCTATCATTCCCAAAAAAAAATAAAAGAAAAATTACTCATTTAAAATTATATGATTAGTTTTATTTTTGAATAATAATGTATCTTTGTAAACTATTTATATTAATGCAGTAGTATTTTTTTATATTTTTCAATCAATACAATGTCAATCCGAAAATAAAAAATAAAAATGAATTAATTAGATATATTATCTACTAAAATTAAAATGAAAAGATCAGACAGTTGATAATATAGTTTCATTTTAGTAATTCAAATGGGGGAAACTCTTTTAAGCTATTCCCAGACTTGTTTCTCTTTAGAAATATAGATTTACTTGAGATTAGCCCATACCAAGATTTTCAAATCAGCATCATAATCCATATAGGCTATCGCACTCTAACATCCATCTAACACACATTACAGTAAAAAATCAATTCTACAAACAATCAGTATGTAGCAAAGAGGCCTAACAAATAAAGAATATTACAGCTTTAAAGCCAAACCACATCCGTTACAGACCGCCAACGGCCCCAAACAGGCTCATCGGACAACACCAACCAAACACCACCTTGCCCTTCAAGTCCAAAGTCCCTNCCAAAAAAAAAAAAAAAAGTAAAATAAAATCATCCTTCACATGATATCATGCCAAACTTGACCTCTTCCTCTTATGCACACTCCAAGTCAAGCCATTCAGCCCACTCTCCAAACCTTCAGGCCCGCTTTTACTCGAGCTCTCGGCTTCTGGCTTAATTCTTTTCGATACCGACCCAAACCCATCCTCGCCCTTCCCCTCACTCCCGAACATAACCGTCTCCCTCTTCAAAATCACAAGTCTTTTCTCCCCACTCACATTACTATTACTCTTCCCAGCCAGTTCACTATTACCAATGGGTGGTAAGTTATTATTACTACTACTACTATTATTATTATAATTATGAATATTATTATTACTGATGCTAATAGTGTTCTCTCTTCTTCTCTTGGGAGGATTTTTACCGCCGTCATCCCTAATAATCTCGACAGCCTTCATATATTGAGACTCGGTAATTGTGTCGTCTCGAATAACTTCTTTTCGGATGCGCTTGCCAGTAACAGGGATATTGTCGGGATGTAAGGAGCCTTTGGCTTTGGCAGAATTAATGTCGGGAATTGTGTAGACCCAGTCAGGGACCTCGTGCTCCTCCATGAGGCGGGCCCGGTAATTTTCCCGCTGTCTTCGCTCTTCATCCATTTTCTCGAAAAGCCAAAATTCCTCGTCTGAACGGGCTGCCAGCCTGTTAATCTCCCGTTCGCTCGGGACATCAGTGCCCAGGGCACTACTGCCCTTGCGCATGATCTCCTCTAGCATTTCCCTTCGGTCTTGGGCTGCATGAGTAAATGAATTAGTGTCGAGTAATCAAATATAAACCCAAGAGAGTTCCATTTGGTACATAGTTGTGTTAGACTATGTTTGGTAAAACTAGCTGATAAGCTAACTTATAGCTTATCAGTAATTTTCGAGCTTATGACTTATAGTTGAAAAGCTAGATTATATGATAAGTGTTTGGTTAAATTAGCTGATAAACTAGCTGAAATAAAAATTTCAACGAGCTTATTAGAAAAGCTACCCAAAGAAGCTTATGAGATAAGCTCGAACTTTATAGAAAAGCTCGTCCTACCAAACGAAGGTTATTTAAATACATGAAGCTTATAAACTAACCAACTAAGCTATAAGCTAGTTTATTTGTCTACCAAACATAGCCTTATTTTGTTTTCGTAATTAGCCTCGAGCTCAAGTACTTTGATACCACATATGATCCACGTAAGAAATGAAAAAATGTGGTTTTAGACAGAAGAAATGGCGAAATGGGATTCATGTAGTTGACAACGCATAGGAAGACAAATGCTCTGTGGTTAGCGTTTATTGATTATCCCTCACTAGGCTACCTTTGGAGGAAAATGAAAAGGAAAGGACCTATATTTATACATCATAATTATCTGGAAAATGAAAAGGAAAGTACCTATATTTATGCATCATAATTATCTTACTGCTATTTGCTTTTATCGTATAAACATACACATGAAGAGAAGCTACTCGTAACAAATTTGTCATATTTGTAATCTATCTATCTATACTACTCTAAAAGTACGAGTGTTTTTGTAAAAATATGAACTACCTAAAAAATCCTTACTTTGGCATATTTTTAATGGCAAATTAGTAATACACTAATACACATCATATTTTATATTTTTAAACATAAAAGTAAATTACCTAAAAAGCCCTTACTTTGGCATGTTTTTAATGGCAAATTAGTAATATACTAATGTCCATCATATCTTATATTTTTAATTATAACTAATAATTAATTAATTAATACAAATACATGAACAAATCATTCCACACTCCTAAAATCAACTATAAAATCAACTACAATATGTTGGTTTAGCACCATTATTTCTCACGAATTTGTTTTCTTCCACATATCTCTAAAACTGTTTGATAGGATATAGAATTGTTGTTTTGAAAAACGTTATTATTTTTAATATAATTTTAACGGTAATATTGTAATCACATTTCATAACTCTAATATATAAAAGTTCTTTAAAGAAATTAAAATTGATCCAACACAAAAAGCATAATAAACACTTATAAAACTAGAAATCGATATTGTTTTTTCTCATAACGACCATAAAGTATAGAAACATTATTTTCAAATAACGTATACAAAATGTGTAATAGTATGCGAGATTAATTGTTGAATGACTATTTTGCAACCTAAACTTCTAATCAATTCAACTTCTTCAGTACATAAGACCAAAACAATTTTATGAAATTGTATAATACTAAAACTTAATCTATTTGTTTTCACGTCAAATGAGATTCCACTTTAGCAACATGGATTAATTTTAACCATATAATTATCTACAAATTAATTAAAAATATCTCGAGAACCATGATATGATTTACATGTTGAAAATTAATTAATTTTAATTAGAAAATTATATTCATATATTATCATTACTCATCTATCTATTAATATGTGTTATTATAATAAAATGGTTTATAAGAAAAAAAAATGTACGAAATAAAAAATTTATATATTTGAGTATAAATGACAAGATTATAATTATATATAATATAATATAAGGATATAAAATTAATTGATATAAATAAGACATATGATTCAAAAAAGTGCTATACTTTAATTTTATGTATTTTTTAACAAACCTAAAAGTTTTACACACACACACACACACATATATATCTATATTAAAATACATATGAAAGAACAGTTTAAAGTTAAATAATTAATAAATCTAATAAATAATATTAAATTTATAGTTAAGGTGTAACACTTACTAATAACTATGAAAAAAAAAGTAATAAATAAAAACGTTACAATTAGTAAAAGTAATAGTAGAACTTTTAAATTTGTACTTATCGATGTAAACGAGCCAAATTGTTCACCACATGTTAAATTTTTGCGCTTATTAGTTCAGTGTATAAATTTTAGACGATAGACAATAGTTATTTATACTTTTATCCATATAGGTTAGAATTTAATTTTTATTTTTCTTAAAAAAGCTTTGATAATTTTAATTTTAAATAACGTTTTATTTGCTATTAGTTTTTTAATATAATATATAAATACCATATTATATATATACAATAATACTTTCTATTATTTGATATTTAATGTGCAAGAAATGTAAATCAATTGATAAGTTAATAGGTAGTCTTGCGATAAAATAATGAGCGATTTCTAAAAAAATATATGGATTAAAAAGTTCATGTGTATAATATATTTTTAACAGAAAATTATAAATACATCTAATTAATAACAAAAACTCCTACATAAAAAATGTAATTTATAAAGGAATAAAAAAATGGTACATTGCAATGAAAAATCTAACGGTAAGACATCCACTGAAAATCCCAAATGATATTTTATTTGTATAGTTGTCATTGCAAAATTTCATTGACTATTCCAACAGAGATCAAATTACATTATATTAAAATTTCAGTGGATTTAATTAATCTAATTATCATTATTTATTATTGTGTGAATTTCCATTTGAATTTTTTTTCGGGTCATAATTCAACAGTTGGAAAAAATGTCACTGGAATTGTAAGAATTTCAACGGAAGTTCTATTCAAAATCTACCTTCAGTGGTGGATACAAAATAATTTCATACTTGAGGCATTATTTAGTTAATAGAAAAGGTATACCATTAAAATAACATAATGTCATTATAATTTATAAATTATATTTTTCATAATTTGTCATCTTTCTCATCTATAATACATGTTACACATCAATACAGTTACAATTAAAAAAACATAACTTTTCTCAATTCAACATAAGCAAATAACTGAAAGTAATTATGTTTTTTAAAATTTTATGAACAAAAGTTGACTCGAGAATATGAATTTATGAATTATAAATATTTAATTGTAGTATAAATTAAAAAAAAAAATTGTAATTAAATATAATATAATATAAGATATACAAATAATTTATATATAATGACACAGATGATCGAAAAAATTCTAAACTTTATATTATGCATTTTTTGACAAATGTACAGTTAAGAACATGTAAAAGAACAAGATAAGAGTTTAAAAAAATATTAAATATGATAAATAATAATAAAATAAATAAGTAGTGGCACGTACTAATAAATATGAAACAATGTAATAAATAAAAATGTTATAAATAATAGAAGAAATATAAACGATTTGTAAATATACTTATCGACGTAAACGAGCTGAGTTGTTAAACGCTTGTTAATTTTTTTTCTTATAATTTTATGTGTATATTTGATGTGATAGACAATAGTTATTTGTACATTTATCCATGTAAGTTACAAAAAAAAAAATCTTTACTATTCTAATTTTAAATAAATTTTTATTTGCTATATTAGTTTTTTTAATATAATATATAAATATCATACTGAACATATAAAATAAGAAATATTCTAATTTTTAAATATTTAATATGTAAGAAATGTAACTCAATTGGTAAATTAATAGGTAATCTTGAGATAAAATAATGAATGATTTCTGAAAAAAAAAATATATATATATATAGGAACTAAAAGGTTCGTGTGTTTAATATATTTTTAATAGAAAAATTGTAAACACAATTAATCAATAAAGACTCATACAAAATTAATGTTTAAAAGGACTACAACAAATTACTATATTGCAATGAAAAATTCAACGGTAAGGTATTCTACAGAAAATTCCAACGAATATTTCATAAATATTGCTTTAATTGAAAATTTTCATTGGCTATTCCAACAAAGTTCAAATTAAATTACATGAACTTTAGTGGATTTAAAGATTTCAATTACTTGAATTTCCATTGGAATTTTTTTTGGACCATATTTCAATCATTGGAAAAACTGTCATGGGAATTTGGCAAAAATACAAGGAAAATTCTATTGGAAAGCTAATTGCAGTGATAGATCCAAAATAATTTCACATTGGGGGCATTATTTAGTTAATAAAAAATCTATACCATTAAAATAACATGTCATTATAATTTATAAATTATACTTTACATAATCTATCACCTCTATCATTTCTTTTCAATATTGTTTGAGTTGACAAATATATTGCAAATAAAATAAAAATAATATAATTATTTATATCGATATATATATACATATATATATATATATATATCAGTACTAATTTAAAAATAATAAATCGACCTAAAATTATAGTATATATTAATTTTTTTATTCAAGTTAAATCAATTTTATTAAGTATAAAATAACATAAGATAAACTTGAAGTATATTTTTCTTATATAGATTTGAAACAGTTCATATTAAAAAAAAAATAAAAAAATGAAGGTAAACTTACAACTACTAGTATTCGACCTGTGCAAATGCACAGATATAAATAAATTATTGTGAGTCTGTATGCATATAATGATTAATTATTTTTCTTTCACTTTTTTGCAGAACAAATTTACAATCAAAAGAGTTGTAATATTTTTTTTAAATTGCGTTTATCTGATTGAATGTAATGTATATTTTGGTACGTCTTTTATTTGTGAATTATTTATTATTTATTTAGGAATTTCAAATATATTTTTTATTTTAAAAAAAAAAATAAATGTAACAACAATAATAATATCTAATCACATTATACGGTCAACACATTATATGATCAACTGTCATTAATCAAAAGTTTAAAATGATTTTTGTAATTTTGAAGTGATGAGTATTAATTATTTAATGATTAAATGAAAGATTAAATACATCAAAATATAACGGTTTTTGGAGGAAAAATTGTTAAATTGCCATATAGGTAAAATTAAATAGGTTTTATTAAATGTTATTAGCTAGTAATTATATATATATATATAGATTCCCACGTTTTGGCTAGAGCGCCCATTCCCGATATATATTTGACACTGGTTTGCCGTAATGCTGAAAACTATGGTGAATGTACCTTAGGTACAAACGAAGCGAAGCGAAATGAAGTCATAGATAAAAGAAGGAAAAGACTATGTCAGAGAAAGGAAATGAGATAACATTAACTATGTGAATTAAAAAGACAAAATAAATGAGTTGTACGTTAAACTATTATTCAATTACTGCTTGAAAAAGAACCTTATAATGGTGGGTACCATATATCTATTCAGTGATTATGAAAATGACTTAGTTACCTAATATTTTATCAAACATTGAAAAAAATTGTAAACTTTTTAATCCAATAATTCGTATAAAAAGTACATTTTTATCAAATATATTAAATTTACATTGTATCTTATATGATTATAGTAGTTGTAGCCTAATAAAAAGGATAATTTGAAAACATCATTATATAAAACACATACAAAAAATAACGCAATACATATAAATGTGCTTTAATTATTTAGTAAATAAAATATTATTTGTCTATAGAATAAGAAACAAATAATATAATAGTAACACAATGAGAAAAAGAATACGTGTGAATTTTCAGAGAAGTATGAATACCAATATTTACAAACAAAAAGTCTTTGAAAATTACTACTTTTTTGTTGCTAGCGTTTAAATATATGGACTCCGTAAGAAATTGGTTTTCATAAATAATGATCCTATATTATTTATTTTTAATTTTAAATAATTAAAAAATTCAAAAATTTGTAATACATAATGTATATTTTAATCATGAATCCATAATAATAAACTTTGCAGATGACTAAGAGTATCGTAATATAATAGAATTCTAATTCTTCTCTTATTAAATATTTTAACAAATGATATGCTTCTCAATATTTTCTCATTGTGTTGATTGTTTTGTTTTGTCATTGTTGGAGAATAAAGAAATGATCTTTACCTTGAATTTTATAATCATTTTGTATGATGAATAATGTTGGACAATAAAAGCATTAAAGAAGTCATTTGGAACACAAATATTACATATTCAAACGAATGTGAAAGATATTATGATAAACAATTTTAAAATCATTGCAACAACCATGATGGTCAATAATTTTCAAATAATAGATTATATTGTTCGTCTATACTCCAAATAAATAACAATGTCGGAGTATCAAAATAGTTTTGAATATTGGAATGAGGTTGTCACTTTTTATAGAAATATTCATAATCTCATTAGTGTATTGTACTCGAGCATATGTACAATTACTTTAGAGGTATTTTCAGGTAATGTATGATGATTTCAAAAAATAATTTAGCACCTCGGGAGAAGTACATGTAACCAAAATTTTGGGAAGTCAACTTTTATTTGGAGATAAAATTCATTCTCACCTCGTGGGGCGATGCATCAATGGGGTAGGCACCAATATGTCTAGAGACAGAGGAATGTAATAGTTTATACAATGATAAAAAATACCAGTAATTTTAATGACACAGTTAGTTATTTCATAGAGATATTTATGTATTGTTAGTAGAAGTACCTTATTATAAAGATTATACGATCATGAAATTTGAGGGTCATAATGTTTCTTAAGTGTTTGAATAAAATTACCGTTTTGCCAAATGAATTAAGAAGAATGTTGCAATAGTATTGATGTATTGGACTCTAGCGAGTATGAATGTTTCTTATGAGAAAGATGAAAGAAAATCTTAGTGTTTTTTGTATTAAGGATTTGTTTTTTAGATTTTTTAGTTGGCGGTTGTAAAACGTTATTTCACTCTTTCTATATTAGGACATCATTATGTTAGTTCTAAATAAAAAAAAATCACATATGAATTCATTTGTTCTAAATTGTATTTCATTCCTGTAATAATATGTTTAATAAATAAATTAATTTATTTTACAAACTTACTCAGCGAAAATCATTCGATACCACGTGCGATACGTGCACTTTACTAGTTTTATAAAAAAGGATTATTTTTACTTTAATAAATTAGACTAACCTCAAGATTAGTTTCAACCCTTTCAATTTATTTTCAATGACCACATGCAACCCAGACAGAACGTCCCNAAAAAAAAAAAAAGCATCTCTTACCAAGCACGGGAGCAATAATAAATCAACTGCATAAAGCTCGTACATAAACGAACCTGTGGATGTCGTATTGAACAGTCCCGCCTGAATAACTTTCGCATCAATACCCATCTTCTGTTTGGCCCTTTCCAGAATGACCTCCTCGATGGACCCCACGCTCACGAGCACAAACACCCTCACCTCCTTCTTCTGCCCGATCCTGTGGGCCCGATCCTCCGCCTGCTGGTCCATCTGAGGGTTCCAATCACTATCGAAAATGATAACAGTGTCAGCAGTCTGCAGATTCAGGCCCAGCCCGCCGGCCCGCGTGCTGAGGAGAAATATGAAGTAAGGTGAGTCAGGAGCATTAAACTGCTTGAGCAATTCTCCCCTGTCACCAGTGCTTGTGGTCCCATCAAGCCTAAGAAATTGGTAGCCCTTTAAGGAGAGATAGTCTCCGAGTATAGTCATGAGTTTGGTCATTTGAGAGAAAAGGAGGACTCTGTGGCCTGCTCGATGGAGCTTTGGGAGAAGTCGATCGAGAAGCTCGAATTTTCCCGAGGCCCTCACAATTTCCTCACTACGCTGCATGAAGTAGTCTCCGAGGAAAAGGTACGGGTGATTGCAGCACTTGCGGAGTTGCATTGTTAGGTTTTGGAGGCTTTTGGATCGACCAGAACCTGTAAATTCGAAGTGTCGAGTTAAGTCGAGAGAGACTAATGGGGAAAATCTGAATTATTGGGAGCATGTGGTTCATGATTGTCACACACACAAGAGATTAACACCTAAAAGTAAATGGAAAAGAGCGAGGATTGATGTTTTTTATTTTATTTTTATTATTTTGGATTATTAGTATTAACTATTAGAATTAATATTAATTTTACTTTGTGTTCTTGTTTCATATGGTATGTAGTATTTGTTGAGATTGGGAAGAACAGCAGAAATGGAAATGTTCACGGTTTTTAACCGAACCGGGGGTAAAAGGTTCGGTTAATTGTTGACCAAGGTTATGATTACAAACCGTAAATCGGAACCGTGAATTGGTGGTTCGGTTATGGTTTGTACAAAACCCAAACAGTAATTCAAATTTCAAAGTCGCTAAACTATAGTTCAGATTTCAGACCGTGTTAGTAAGTATTTTTACAGCAAGGTTAAAAATAACATATATATCATGAGCATATAAACCTGTTTGATATTGCTCTCTTTTTTTCCCTTATCCTTGTGAATTGAAGATACTCTTGTTATAAAAAACAAACAGAGCATATGTCGAACTTTTGCACTTCTCAAATAATCAAGATTATTTGGCAACAAAAACCAAATAATTTTGAATCTTGAAGCAACCATGGTTTCATTCTCAACTTCATATATGGTTTCCAATATATTTATCTGATGCAAAAATCTTCTTGAAATCCTTCAAATTACCACAAAATTCAATGCAGTTAATGAAACTAGTACAACAGGAAACTGGTACAACACTTGTGTAGTACACAAGTGTCGCATTCAGAAATATATACATAAAAAAAAAGTGTTTC